GTTCCAGGATCCAGATACTTCAAAGACAACCTGATCCAATGAAAAAAAGCTTTACCCACGCCCCCTGCACTAATGGCAAATTCACAAAAATACACGTTCGTGGATGGAAGGAGGCTTTAGGAACATAAAACATGATCACATGTAATGTGATTTGGCTTTAGGGCCAGAAAGGGAGAGTGTTAGTTTACTCTCTTATAATTGGGAGCTATTAAACTGTAGTAAACAATAGTGACCAAATATGTCAGGAGATGAGTTTTAAAGAAATACTAAAAATAATTGACAACTGTTAATTGTAGGAAACTAAAGACAGGACATTAAAATCCATGTACCCTTTTCACTGGAGAAAAAAAGCACATTGACTATCCTTCTGTTAGTGTTGCAGAAAGACCAGGTAGATCCTTCTCTATACAGAGTATCATTCACTTAATCTGAATTTAAAATGCAGTACTTAAATCTAACAAACGAATCATTGTTTTTTGCATTATTTAAAAGAAGTTGATAACCCAACTCTCTGTTACTTGGAGCTTTTGCTTTGAATCAGAGTCAAAACATTATGCTGAAAAGAAAACCCCATCTCTGCCAGTTTTTTTGGCAGAGAAACAACTCACACGAACGTGGGAAAAGTTTTCCTTTCCCTTCCCACTACCTTGGTTAACATGGCTCTTCACATGAGTCAAAGCCATCTCCCTCTACAACCACACAAGGTAAAAGGAGTTTTGGAAGCAAACTTGAATTTTAAAGGGTTACATATGTTCTAACCCAGGGCTATCTTTGCTATGAACAAGTCCACTGGTACTTGAGAAGTGAATTTTAAAACAGACAGAACAGACATTCTCACTAAAGTACAATTGGGCCATCATGCCTTTTTGCAGCCTTGCATTTTGCTGTTCTCCACCACCACGAATCATCTTGTCCTAAAACAGCTCCTGCAAAGTGCTGAAAAATACCTGATAATAATATAATGTACAATTCAAGGAACTCATTCAATTCCTATTATTTCAATATCAATAGAAACTATTTACCAGTATTATCAGTACCTGCAAGTACTTAAAGTATTAAGTAAAACTTTATTATGAGTTGCCTGTGCACCTCTCTTCCAACAAGAGATATTTTTATGTGGAAGCCAGGAGACTGCCCAGATAGTTTTTATGAACAGAGCTACAAAAAAATACATTGAAAGCACAATTTATCATAGGGATATAAATCACACAGCTTGCTTTGCAATTCTCAGCAGATTTCAAGTGCTCTTTCTGAGATACCTGACTTCAGAAGGAAGTCTTGACCTTTCAAGTCCCAAAGGAGTTACACAAAAAATGGACAAAGCACAGCTTTATGTTCGAAAATATTGCTTCTCTAGTTGGAACTTCAGGCAAAATGGAAGAAAAATATATGTACCTTGCTCTTCTGAAATCCAAACCTGCACCACTGTACTTCCTCGCTCATATTGGTTTCACTTGCACAAACCATGAAAATCAACAGCACTGAACTCTCACATGCTCAATGGTTGCTGAGTTGAGAATGTACAAAACCTCCCTTTATTCAGCTCAGCAGGAGGGACTCCATTCAACTCCCCTTTGAAGTTGGTCAAGAGTACTCCCACTAGCTTTCCAAGAACTGAGTCTGACTACAACCAGAGTAAACATTTATTCCTGAACACTTAGTGTTTCCTCATTTGTTAACCCCATGTGAAAAATATCACAAAGACTGAAAAGTGAATTGTCTAAATTTCGTACATAAAACACATGAAGAGTGAGATGCCAGTCATAATAAGGTTTTTACCTTACATTTTTTCAATTATTAGACCACCAGGTAGTTCTTCCTTATTCTTGAGGAGAAGAAAAAACAAGGCTGAAAAAAATTATAGCTTTACTGTCATACTACTACTGGCTCCCAGAAAAGACAAAAGGATCATAAGGCTCTATGAAAAGCATGAGAGCAACAACTGAATAATAAAAAAGCAGTGTAAATGCAAAAGGATGTAAAATTAAAAGACTAAATTAGGAAGTTTTAGTGAATGGCCTACATTTCTATATGCTGCCTATCTAGACAATTTTATTTTCTTCACCTACATTTTGCTGAAGCTCCAATTAGAAAGTCTGCTACATGTATACAAAATCATGTTCAGAAAAACTCTTCAAGAAGCTTTTCAGTCCTGAAGCCACTTGGAACCAGAAAGAAATCAATAAAACTATAAATTGAAGGTATGAGAAACCCAATTAAGATGCCTGGCATTACATCTTCTAAATAGAAAGGGTAAAAAGACTCACTCCTTTTTTGAACATCCCCTTCATGTAAGTAAACTTTTGGGAACAGTGCAAAGAGGGAGGAAAGAAAAAATTGAATGGAGTCAAGGAGAGGGTAACAAAACAATCCAGGGAAAAGGGTTCTAGCAGGTACTGCTGCCTTACCAGTGAATTTTAAATACCAAATTTCAATTCCCTTCTGAAACAACAAACACATCCCATAGAGCTACAATAAATGCAAACGCTATAAATTAGATAACACAACAGCAGGTGTGCACTATTTATACATACAAATCCAACAGATGAACAAAACATCTTCAAGAGAAATGCACAGTAACACATCACAAAAAGAAAGTGCAGATGGTGCAGTTGCAGAGGTGGCTATTTGTGTCTGGACAGTTCTACTTCCACTGCTGTTCTGTAGGCTTATGTTTTTCAGTAGGCTTACATTTTTCACAAAGGAGGAGACAAAGAAATTAATATATTTTTTTTTTTCCTTCAAATTTTGGCTTCCCCAATTAAATTGGCTGTTTCACAATCCTGAATGTTGCTCCTCATTGCGTCAGCAGGGAGATTTTGATTGCTAAGTTTATGTACAGATATGTTTCGTACTGTGTAAAAGTAAGCTAACTCACCTGATGCTCAGATAAGGACAGAAGTACATAAATGCCACTGGAGCTATGGCATTGACACAGAAACATCTATTCTTGTAAATCTCAAAGCAACAGGAATTGTTGTTTTGATAATCAATTGATCCACTTACATATTTTTTCCGTTTGGTGTAACATAACTAGAGGGCTAAAAACAAAAGCACATAGTCCTTTACTAGAAGGTGCTTATGCACCTAACACACATTTGTTACCTAGCACTCCTCTGACAAAATCCAGCTGAACAATCCCTAGCTGTACCCACCTTTTGCTTACCACTTGTGTGTTATACCTTCTTACTTCCCACCTTAACGCTCATACACATTATTTGTTCTTCCCTTCCTTCAGAAAGCTGAGTATGATGTTGAGTGTTCAAAGCAAAGAGGATGTTTAAAAAATTCTACCAATAAGACAAAATGAGTATCAGACAGAGCCACACACATATCCTGAATGCACCTTCACAAGTTGTATTATTCACTGAATTCAACAAAGCCCAGCCAAACGATCCCTACCGGCAACAATACTCTGCCGGCTTCCATTAAATGCAGACAGGAAAAGCACATTGCTCCCAAACACAGGCTGCTTCTCTCCCTAGGTCAAAGAATGAAGGAATAAACCATTACTACAGGTTGTCAGCAACTTGAAAAGACAGAAAGACGACAGTTTCAGCCAGTGATCTGTATTGGGTTCTTGCCCTGCCGGCAAGCTCAGAGGCATGGGCTGCAGCCCCAGGCACACGTGACAGCGCTACTTACTTACTGCCGAGAAGGGTGCGTGTACCAAATGTAACAAACTGGGTTACCAGAATAGCCGGGCTGCACACCCGGGCGACACGAATTCCCTCCCTTTTCCTTCTCAGAGCGCTCTCAAGTATCCCAACATTACTGAAGGGAAATAGCACTTACGCAGTACAGTCTATTTATTGCTGCGGCAGCTCAAGTGCTAACACACCTACAAGTCACCGTGAGGGGCCAAGGGCTCCAGGCTGGAGCTGCCAGCTGTAACATTCAACAGCACATCCCTGTGACCCACTGCAAAGCAGGACTGTGGGCAGATTCTAAATTTTCAGCGGTATTTTTGCAGGCTCATCTAGGATCAGCTCCCAAGCACTGAATGATGGGGAACAGGGCTGTGGATGGGAGGAAAGTTTCCAAATGCCTCGTGCTATCAGTCCCATTCAGAAGAACCCGAAAAATACTAAGCTGTGAGCTACAAAGAGCTTGTGCGCTAGTACATTTTGGAATATGTACAGAAAATGAAATTGTTTCCCTTTTGCATAGAGCTCTGCAACGGCTTGAGTACAAAATAGCACTATGATAACACTATCTGAAGCTGTCCGACTTCAGAGAACGCATTAAAGGAACACTAAGCTGCCTCTTCGACCAAGTCTCTCTTTTACCAGTGACATTTCAATGGGAGGAGCAGAAAAGGATTTGAGACACGGCCACTGTGGACCGAACACAGGGAACCACCTTGCGAGCATTCTCGCAATCCGGAGGTCTCTCCGGAGCAAAGTGTTGATTTTTCCGCTGCGCCTGCTACCGTCCAACACAACTTTGGTCATTTAAAGCCCCGCCGGGCGGCAGAGCGCGGGCAGGCTCCTGCGGCCGCGGTAGGACAGCAGGACACGGGGTCCGGGTGGCGCGCCGTTCCACGGCGGAGCGAGGGCCGCGCCGTCCCCGCCCACCGCCGGGCAGGGAGGGCGCGCCGCGGCCACCGCCCGCTCCGCTCCGTTCCCCTCCCGCTACTCACCCCCGCGACCGGCCGGACCGGAGCCACGGCGGCGAAGTCCGGCGGCGGCAGGCGGCGGCGGCCGCGGCACATCAGGACGATCAGGGTGCCCAGCGCGGCGGCAGCGGCGGCGCAGCCCACGTAGAGGGCGAGGCGGAGCAGCAGCAGCGCCAGGCACGGCGGCCCGCAGCCCCCCGCCTCGGCCCGCTCCTGCCCCAGGTGGACGACGGACACAGCCAGAAGCCCCAGTCCCGCCGCCAGCACGAAACGGGATGATCCGGGATCCTCGTCCTCCTCGTCTTCCGCCGCCTCCTCCTCGCCGCCGCCGACCACAGCGGCGGCCGCCGGGGCGCTGCGGCGGCGCGCCTCGCCACCGGGGCCGTGCGAGCCCAGCGGGCCGGGGGCGGCGGCCCCCGCCGCCTCGGGCTGCCCGGCCGTGCTGCTAGCGCTGTCGGCACCGGGGAACATGCTGCTCCTGGCGCCGCTGGGAGCAAGCGCATCTCCCGCCGCGGCAGCCCCCTGCGAAGGTCGCCGCTCCCGGGGCCCCCCCTCTCCTCCGCCGCCGCCGCCGCCTCCTTCGCCGCCCGCCGCCGCCACTGGCACCGCTGCGGCCGCCGGGGGAGCCGGAGCTCATGCCCAGCGGCAGGAGGGTGCGCGGCGGCCGGGCCGCTTTCTGGCGGCAGCGCTGCCCCGCGCTGGGCGGCGGGAGCCGAGCGCCGTGGCAGCAGCCGGGGAGGCCCCGCCGCGCCGCTCGGTGTCCGGCCGGGCAGGGGGCGGAGGCGGGGGCGGTGCCTGCCGGGCGGGCGGGCCCGGGACATGTGCGCCTGCCGCACCGCCCCACGGCGGGGCCCGGCCGGAACGTCTAGTACTGTGTTGCGAGGCAGGGAGCTCCGCCGTGGCGGGGCTGGAGGCGTCCCCAGGCGCTGGCCAGGAAACGGGTACGCTGGGACGAAGCGAGGGCAATCCCCGCGGGCTGCAGTGCGGAGCTTGACTGCGCGGAATGCCACGGAACGCCTCCCCGCCACGGGGGCTAGGCCCCGAGGGACCCGGCGTGATCAGACCGGATCATCGAGGCCCTAACCAGAAATTGGGACAAAAGCCTTGGCGAGCGGCATCTCGGAGATCCGGAGTGTGCACTATGCACCCCTCTGCCTGCTCCCCTCTGATCAGCCAAAGGAAGTCACAAATAACTGGACTTCAGAAATAAAAAGTTGATTGAACAGTGATGCTAAAGAAACACAGCCTCACCACCCCAACAGAAGCATGCCAGCCCTCCAGTCAGTACCCTCCCTCTGTTGTATATTTTATATCTGTTTGTTTTAGATCTGAGAACAAATTCCTGGGAGGGTGCAAGGCTTGCCATATTTCAGCTGTGCTTGGGACGCATGTTCATGTTGCTATAGGTGCGACACAGCTACAGCTCCACCAAATTTGTCAACTCAGTTGAATTGGGAGGCCCTGATATCTTCAGAGGGTTGTCTGCAAAAATCAGCTTCATTACCCAGTGTGCAACAAGCCAATAATTACACACTCAAGAAAGACACTGACTACTTATTTCTGAGTTGTGCAAGTCTGAGTGCTCAGTGGTATTCAACAAATCAAGCACACCAAATATCAAAACTTATTAATATTTATATATGTTAGCAAACAAAGGAATTAGTGTTCATTGTCTACAAGTTCCATAGTTCTCTTTATTAATTAGTATTTTGTCCTCTATTGGCTAATCATTCTCATTTCCCATGCTAATCCGTCTGTATGCTCAGCCTTCTTTTAGTTTGGTGGATTTCTTGGGTCAGTGGTCCTTGAATTGGTGGTTGTGATCTCCCTTTGCAGGAATTACCTTTTATCAAGTTGGAACTGATTTCAGCACAATTGCTGAGTTGGGTTTATTGGTTTCTTCCTTACCTTGGGAGTTCTGCCAAATGTCCATGTGTCCCATAAATTCTTCATTCTTTGTGTCTACTATCAGTGGTACATCATTTTCCCCAAGCTTGGTTTACCTCCTGCTAGGTCTGAGATCACTGAAGCATATCACGCCCTAAACATTGATAGTGCAATTCCACCAACAAGTAATTTGTTTTTCTAATACATGGACATCACTTAGAGCTTGCTTTTTAGCTGCTATCTTTTTCAAGGATTAAATCTCCCTTCTTCTTGATTAGTCTTGAAAGTATACAAAGATCAAACATAAAAGAGCATCCTTTCTTAAGAGAATTTTTACATATTCCACATTTTTCAAGAGCAGGAGTAAATGGCAATGCTTTCCTTACAGAAGCCACACTATACCAAAGTGGATTTACAAGCATTTGCTAATGGGCTTTATTTTAAGAACTGATAGCTGTAAACTCTATAGAAGTGTTTAGAGATAGAAGTATACTGGTAAGCAGCTGATAAGATTGCCACTGATCTGTTAGTTGAGGTGTAAAAACTAAAACAAAGCCCTGAATTTTACTTTTTAAACACAGTTATTGTTGCAGAGGTTGGAGTAGTGATTTATTTGTTGATGCTCTCTAAAAAAGTTATTTCTGTCAAATGAACCCTACTAGCCAATCAATGCTCTGATCTTGTGAGTTTTTACATTTCCTTATACTTTCTACGGTGCAAAAAAGCACCATTGATAAAACCAGACACCAAACTCCCCTGAGCTTCTGCAATGCTAAGCAAGGCAGGACTCTAAGCATGAATAGTGCAGGTGTCAGAAAGTCTGTTATAGCCCTGGAGCAGCACTTGTAATAGGGAATTGCATGTCAGCTCATGGTGCAGGACTGTGATGGAAACGGGCACAGAACAGCATGGAGCTAGTCAGGATTCTGGGTTACAACAAATGTTTTACTCCATCACAATATTTTCTAAGCTGTTTCTAACCTAACTCACAGTGTCTGATGGGCTGGTGTCCATATATACCTGCCTGTGTGTATTAGAGGTTTGCATATTAGAGGTTTGCATTTGTATTTCCTCTCAAAATCACAAAAAGTGGTTATAAAGTGATTTTAGGGCCCCGGTTGGAGAGAGAGGAGACACTGATCCTTAATCTGATCCAAAATCCTTACTGTAACTTAGTTCTTAGTAAGATAAAATATAATTCTATTACAGTTTGTTCTATTTAGTGTATATTAAATTGCACAAAATCCTTTTAAATGCTAGTTCAGACAATTCACAGAGTATCCAAAACTGATTATTTAAGTAACATGTCTAATGTGATTAAAGGTAAAAATCATCAAATCATAATAGTGAAAATGCTATTGCAATGGCAGTCCTTTCCCATGTGAATTACTATGTGGTAAAACATCCTGATGATGGACTGAAGGGCTTTGGGACCAGGGTTTTTTTCAATACATAAGACCATTAAAACCAGCAGAGATTTTTGCAGAGTCTGAAAGCTTTTGGATAAGGCCCAACATGCCTGAAGGTTTCTTATAAAGTTATTTTATTCTCATCAGGTGGAAAATAGAAAACAAATATCCATCTCCCAGCACACACTTTACTCATCAAAGATTTCAGAATATCCAGGACTTTGGACTGAGTTCAAGATCTACTCTGGGATCTTAATAAAGATCCACACAAGAAACCAGAGACCTACTGCAAATGCATTCAGGAAACTGCCTGGGCCACTGTCAAAGTTACTTAAGGCAATTGAATTTTTAAATTAACCTGAAGCAAAGCATGCAGTGTTGATAGTCCTGTGTAAACAGAGAGTATTTTCTTACAGTATTAATTCTCAGTTGTGGAGAGGAAGATTAAAAAAAACAAACCTACCTGCAATAACAATTTAGTCCTGCAGTGCTTATTCACAAAGCCACTTTTTGTCTGAATGAGTAATCCCACCTATTTTAGCCAGGATTTACACATCATATCCTGAATTAGATATGTCTAAATCAACTCAAGTGTATATCCATAGAGCTAGAAGAAGATTTGATTCTTTTTCTTTTAGCTCTTAGTAAGTTTCTATGACTTTTCAACCTAAGATACAATTCCTAATATTTTAGATGATATCCTAGCTCTACTGAAGTTAATAGCAATTTTCAAGTTTTCCTCAGTGTTATTTGAACTTCCCCTTTTGTACTTTAAAAATTACTTTTCTGTACAAAAGGACTTCAATGAGGTCAATTTTGTGAACTGGGGATTACTATAGGCTCCTTCTGTAACTGTTTACTCAGTCATAGAACTAGTTTATGAGAAAAGAGATTCAAATTCCTCAAATTCTTCTTATCCAAGCATTACTGCAAATATCTTTCTTAGAGAGATAAGACAATTACTTATTTTAAAAGATAAATGATGTCTGATTTGGGCGAGGATTCAGCATCTTCACTATTTTCCTTTAAGCTAGAAGTATCATTTATCTTTGTAATTTATCTTTTTTACCCTAGAAAAAACCTCACTGATTTGAACAGTTTTGCAGCTGCCTTTAGTGACAACTTCCACCTTCACAGTACTGCAAACCTCAATGAATTTGCACTTTCAGACATTTAGGCAAGATTAAAAGGAATACTTTTCCTGTAGGCTTTTTCACATTTTATTTCTGTTTTGTCAGCCTTTCTAGCTCTCCCATTGCTATAAAAGGACTAAAACAAGTTATGACTTCTCAATTAGAACAAATAAAAAAGTTACATTATAGGCAAAAAAAAGAGGTCTGTATAGTGCTTATGTAGTTTATATTTTAGCATACTTACAATTTTGAATTAATTACATGCTTTTTTGTAACTACTGTGGTGCTGCATTGCAGTTACAGTCATACTAGAAGTTTATAGAAATTTCTAATGTTCAGAGCACAAAACCCAGAACTGCTTGTGAACTTATAAACCTGGTGACAAACCAGAAAAATCTGCATAACTAACACTGTTAGAAGCAGTCATAGGAATCCTAGAGCAAGAGAAATGGAAATTGGATGTTATACTTCTCACTATCTTAAATGTACAAAATATGTAAGTTGCTCTAATATTAGCTGATTTAAATTTTTGCTACACCTTTTAAGACAGTGGTGATATATTTTGCATATTTGCAGTCAGGAAGTTGGCACACAGGAAAAAATGACAAAAGCACCCATTCAGTATCCAATGTAAGGAACCTAAGACCTCACATGGCGAGGTCAGCAAAGGCTCAGCATTTTGTAGCACGTTTTCCAAGTATGCTTTCCATTTATTTAAGCTGCAGTTGTCATTATTCAACATTTTAACAGTGAACTGGGAGAGGTGCCAGAAAAATAAGAGGAAAACACATGACAAGTATAAAAATTTAGTCAATGTAGTTTGCAGAACCTCCATTAAACGCTGTGTAGCACAAGTAGGACTTGACTCTGGTTAACTTAGACGTACTCAGTTGTATTATTTGAGAGAGTTCTTTCTTTTCTTGTAGTGTTCTGACACATTTGCTACATGTATGTACAAAAATGTGTGTATGTGTGTGTATGCAAACATACATCCATACATATGTGCCTGTGTTTGTGCCAAGTGAAAAGAAATAAAATATAAAAGAAATAGGACAATAGACACAATAGTTGATTTGGCTGCACAGCCCTGATTTAATTCAAAATTCAGTTTGCTCAGCAAAAAATGTGATCATGTCATTAAATCTGTTTCCTGCTGAATAATGGGGCCAAAGTAAAGCTGAATTTTGTATTTTGAATATGTGGATCAGTAATCTGGAAGTCTTTATTTTCACATAATTCTTTCCTTCATTGTTAAAAAGTAACTTTGCTATTATTGAGATATGATATTGCAGCTGATATCTTTGAAAGAGCTGTAAGGTTTCCCATCCTTACTCAGGAAACTACTGCTTTTCAGGGGCAGATCACCAGCAGGTAATCACCACTTACCTACTCAGTGCCAGAAGTAAGGGAACTGCCTGAAGTTTCATTTTGTACTGAAGTTCAAGGTGGCTTGGGGAAGGGTCCAGATCTAACCTCAAGTATTTGGATGACGCTTCCCTAGAAGTCCTCCAGATAATTTTCCCCTTTCCATTTCCTCAGGATACATCACCCAGTACTGCAACCCT